CAAACCCAGGCCATCCAGAGCTGCAATCTGTGCAAACCCAGGCCATCATCCAGAGCTGCAGAGCAATCTGTGCAAAGCCAGGCCATCCCGAGCTCCAGAGCAATCTGTGCAAACCCAGGCCATGCGGAGCTGCAGCCCAGGGACCAGGGAGAGCAGGGCACGTGTGAAGGGCCAGTGCCAGACCTCAGAGCAGGCACCACCACTGCAGGCTCCCACACATCAAGTGGGTATCAGCAGGAGCACGCTGTACTCAGCTCCTCTGAAAAGAGGCCATTTTTATGAGAACCTGAAACTACAGATTTCTAACCAGAATTTTTGACTCTACCTCTTCTCTGCACCTCGGTTTGGATACACTTAAGCGCGAGTGGTTATATAACATTTACTTACATAATTGTTACAATCGCCTAAATAGGTAATTCAGACAGTTCTAAAAGTTACCAAAATTTTAGTAGAACTTGGCATGTAGGGAACACAGCTCCACCCATTTGTTGAGAGGACCGTGATAGAAAAAAACTTTCAAACACACTGTCAAATATGCTACTGGCGTTACTCTCCTACAGAAGGACAAGATATTCCATATGCACTCACTTCTCCAGACAGTATTAATATTATTTATATTTGAATTGCATTGCGTTTTCCCTTTGGCTTATTTTATGTTTCAAAATGATTTGTTTCTCTCTTCCCTAGACATTTCAGATATGTAATTCCTGTGCAATGTGTTAAGTTTCACAGAGTTCCTCAGCTACATGACATCACATTCTACCTAAGAAGCAGAGAGCACAATCACACAGCACCCTTATCAAGCTTTTAGCATCTGATGATTGCCATGGAGTATATCCTGAGAAGGGCTACCCCCACACAAACTTACAGCTTACTGCAGTGCCAGAAGTTATCAGAAAGTGTTGCATGAACTACACCTAACAAAGATCACAAAAAGTTCTTAGAAAAGCAGGCTTTGCATTGCTAAGCCCAACTACACAGCACACCACAGGCCTGAGCAAAAACTGAGCAGTCTTCAGATTTAAATCAGCTAAAAAACAGTGTGCTACACTACTCTGCATCAGAGGAGACAACTTATGCTTGTATACATATTTTAAAATGTTTGTTTCAATACTCTGCTTCTGCTTTCATTTCCATCACACCAGTCTAAAAGGCTACCACACTGTTTTGCACAACACCTACTCTGCTAAGTTGGTATCATACTGCTTTTGTTTTCTTCTTACTTAGAGCAGAGGAGTTCTGCTACGGAAGTGTTACAGAAATGTCCTTCTGTCTCCTACAGGCTGAATGACAAGTTACACTTACACAGGCGGGCTACAGAAACACTTCAAAAGAAAAGCAATCTCACAATTTTAATATTTAAAAGTATAGCTTCTGCAATCTGCCACCTCCAAGTTTTATGTACCCTTTGAAAGCAGTGGATAAAAGAGAGGCAGCAGTTTTATCATAAGTTTAGTTCCAAAACCCGGTGTTACCAAAAAGGAATTTGAACAGTCCCAGTGGGTGCTGCTATTTCAGAATTTCCAAAAACTCCACTGCCAAACCAGTATTGCACTGATATTATCTGAGACCACATCTACCCACAGGATGACCAGAACTCTCAACCTTGTCAGGACAGAGTTCTGAGAAGGAAGGATGATGGCCGATCCAGGGAAGAGAGCCCAAAGCACAACTGTTTAACTTGTTACTCCCTGCTGTGATTCCATTTCCCCTCCTCACCTCTTCCTTATTGCATTTTCTCCCCTTACACATAGCTTCTTTTCACCTAACCTATCCTGTGATATTCTCACTCTGCTTTTGCCTACTTCCATCTTTTGGTCTGCTTCCTTGTTCCCAAATTATAATTACTTGACCTGATCTAGTGTTCATCTTGGTTCAGGAGGAGCAAGAAGAAGGTGGATGTCGATCCTCAGCCTTTGTATGTAGTGAACTACTGTCAGTGACTACAGATGAGCTGCCAATAAGCCTGACATCCTGTCAACAGGGTTCTTGACTATAAACGGGGCAAAAAAGGCTAATTTCGAGAGGCACTGACTAGGAAAAATCGATTATAAGCAAGGACAATATACGATCAACTATCAGGAAACCCCTCGAGCCTATAAATAATAAGTCATGTGATGACAGTTTCACCAGTTTAGCTGCCTGTCTGCAACTCATGTAAATTCTGCTGAGGTTTTACACAAACAGACAGAACTATAGAAAACCCTTCCTGTAATCCTAGCAATAAGAAGCAGTAGGGCACTCCCAAGAGGCATTTTGTTTTTCACTTATTTATAAAACTGGATATCGCCTTAATTCTCACTAAGGTAGTATTTGATCAAAGCAGGATGTGAGTTAAAATACTGGATGGAGGGCAGCAGAAGGCAACTGCATTCAAGGAGGCAAAGGAAGAATGCTAAGGAACAAAACCTCCAAAAACTTAAATTCAAGCAACAGGACCAGTGCTGTCCCATTTACATGCTTTAATTAAATCAAAGAATAAAAAGGAAAATCCTGTAACAGGCAGTTGTTCTCACAATGACATCACACAAAATGGTAAGAAATGGTAAGTTCTTCAAAGGCCCTCCAGTCACCCCTAGAAATTAAAGAGGGAGCACAGAAAGTGAGTGTTCAATACTGAAGCCATGACAACCTCCACACCCTCCTGAGGATGGCAGAACCTACAGAAAGTCACACACAACTTCCCTGTACTGCTTTCACTGATGCTTAAATATTAACGTCACTGTACCCCCAGTTTTCCTCCTGCTGTATGAGCTATTTTGCTCAGGAAAATGTGCAGAAACTAGCTCAATCAAGAGCATTAATCTTTTGGAAAGTTACCTGCCTCTACACACATTTCTTCTTGTAACATTATTTCCACTTTGACCTTTTCCTAAGACACCTGTTACACAGGTGAACAACCTTCTACTCCTCCAACACCAAATTTCTTCCCCTGCTACTACAACATAAAAGCTATTCCCATAAATATTTCCTATTCCATGACCCCGCTCCATCAGCCCCCCAGTCTCCTGAGGCTGAATTGCCAGCATTTCCAGAAAACTGCCCCTCATCCTGGTTTTGCAGTGCACACAAGCTCATAGCTCTTCTCCAACAGATATCCTTTTCACATCTACACGTTAATAACTACACTACACCTTACATTTTAATTGCTTACAAGATTAAAAAAAATTATCTTAAGACTACAGGAAGTCCACATCCAGAATGGCTACTGACCACAAGAACTTCCAAGTCTCAAAGCTGTACTTGATCAGTACCTGATTTACTCATTAATTTAAATACGATCTATGCTGCATAACTGTACAAATGTATCCCTTTTATTCAGGCAGTTACTTGTACAAATCTGTCTTTGGTACAATTCTCCATTTCGTACAACTCTGCATACACTTCATTATATGAAACTAACCTATTTTCCAAAAATATCACCCATGTTTTCAGAGCTCTAAATAGTAACGTGTACTTACTAGGAACCTGCACATATCTGCAAACCATATACTGCTCAGTTTAGGAAGCATCATCTGAATTTTTATTTCTGTTTTAAGACAGCAACAAAGTAAGTCTATATATGACAGCAGCATCTAAGTAGTATATAAGCAACAGACTGCCAGCCAGTATTTATTTTCCAAGTTCTACGTGTGAGACATGTACTTAACAGCCGAAATAAAGCTGCATGTTCTTCAAAGAATCACGGGATGGTTTGGGTTGGAAGGGACCCTAAAGATTACCTAGTTCCAACACCTGTAGTCATGGGCAGGGACACCTTCCACCAGACCAGGTTGCTCAGAGCCCCGTCCAACCTGGCCTTGGACACTTCCAGGGATGGGGCAGCCACAGCTTCTCTGGGCAACCTGTGCCAGGGCCTCCCCACCCTCACAGGGAACAATTTCTTCTTAACACATATTCTAACGCTGCCCTACTTCGGTTTGAAGCCATTCCCCCTTGTCCTATCGCCACACGCCCTTGCCGAAAGTCCCTCTCCAGCCTTCTCGCTGACGCCGTTGCCCCAAACACCGCCAAAGGTCCCGGCTGCGCTCCCGCCGCGCCGGCTCCGCTGCCCCGAGCGCTCCCGCCCGGCCCGGCCCCGCCCGCCCGCCGGTACCTTCCAGGCCAGGAGCAGCACGTTCATGATGGCCAGCAACGGGCAGGGGCCGTTCTCATTCTGGGTGATGACGGGCGTGTTCTCCTCCTTCCAGCGCACCCACTTGATGTGATAGACCGACTGCCCCGGGAAGCGCTCCTTGGAGGCGGACAGGAGCTGCGAGCCCGCCGCCGGCCTGTCCCCTTCGGGCTCCGCCGCCGGGCCCCCCGAGGAGGCCCCGGCCACCACCGCCTCGTCGGCGTCGCTGTTGAGCTCGGAGCTGCTCGGGCAGCAGGAGTGCAGGTTGGAGAAGGACTCCAGCGAGTCCAGGCTGCGGGACTCCTCCCCCGGCGGGCTGGGAGCGCCGCTGCTCCCGGAGCCGGCTCCCGCGGGACCGCTCTCCGAGCCGGGCGCCGTCCCGGGGCTCTCGGGCACCGCCGGCCCCGCGCCGCCCTCCGCGGCCCGGGCGGGGGACGCGGTGCGAGCGGCCGCGGCGGGAGCGGGGGCCGGCGGAGGGGAAGGGCTGCGCCGCCC